CCGCCACAGTCGTGTGGGCGCATGCGCCGACGGCGCCCACACGGGCGCGTCTGGTCTTGCCGAGCCTGCTAGCGGTGCGACGCCGCGGCATATCTGATCGTCCTCGCCTGCTTTCTTGAGGCCTGGTGGGGCCTGGGTGCTTGCCACAGCCTTGCCTTGACCTGAGGAATCAGGCTTTTTTCGAGTCTTTTCCAAGCAGAGACAAGGGTTGTGTCCACTTTGGTGTTACTCCGCCTTGCTGAGTCCGCCGTACATCCTCCCAACTGCTTCAATCAAGGCAGCAACGTCGCATGCATAGACAGGTGCATGCACAGACGAGCTTTGCAAAGGCTGTCACATTTGCCAGGGGGACCCATCAAAACGTTTGTTTGGCTTTGCCAATGAAATTCCGTGCTGCATGCATGCTGTGTAAATCCTGCTCTTGCTGGTTCCGCACAGTCCCAGCCGCCGGCCAGCAGGCAGCTTCAGTGTCCTGCCTCAGCACGACGCCCTGAGGCGCGCCGGAGCGCCTTGCTTCAGCTTCCAGTGCTCCGCCATCAGGGCCGCCCACTCACCGACAGCACCGGGCCCAGCCACGCAGTGCGGTGCCACTAGTAGTGATGCCTGTGTTTCCAGCCGCCCCCATCTGGAAAACCCACGGGCAAATTTATGCCAACTTATGGACATAGCTAGGGCACAGTTGTCCACTGGACTCTCATATTTGGCAAAATATGAGTTCACGGTTAGGGGTGTTGGCCAGTCACAGTCAAGGGGGCCTCTTGGACTCCTCGGAGAGGCCCAGCCTGGTGCATACACCCCAGCATCGTCCGACTCAATGTGCACCCTGCCTGCTCGGCCGCCCTGCTGCCTGCCACCCCCAGGCTCTGACAGGTTCATCAGGGCGAGGGGGGGGGACGTAATCGACCGCCAGCGGGCCACAATCTAGGGCCTGGGATAAGGGGCTGTGTGCAACACAAACCCTTATGACACATACGCACAGTGACTGTGCGTGTGTGTGTGTGTGTGTGTGTGTGTGTGTGTGTGTGTGTGTGTGTGTGTGTGCGCGTGCGTTCGTGTGTGTGTGTGTGCGTGTGTGTGTGTGTGTGTGTGTGTGTGTGCACGCGTGCGTGTGTGCATGCGCGCGCGTGCGTGCGTGCGTGCGTGTGTGTCAGGGGGTAGGGAGTGATGCAGTGCCCATGGCTGCAAATCAACAGCCGCTCTATCTGCATGTGAACGGCCGCGCGCAGATTATTGGTGACTGAGAGCTCAACCTCGCATCTGACCCCTCAGCTCCTGCGATGGGGGCGGGCCTGACTTTTTCTGGGCTGTCTGCGTGTGTTGCCAAGCGACGCGTGCAATGGGCTGCTCCTGCTGCTGCTGCTGCTGCTGCTGCCGCAGCTGCTCCTGCTGGTGGTGGTGGTGGTGGTGGTGTTGGCGGCCGCCTTGAGGCGTTGGTAGACTGTCGTTCGGTCTCTGGGCTGTTGTGTTGTGTGCAGGCGGGTCGTCGCAGCTTTTGGTGCTCAACGGCGTCAACAGGTCTGACAGCCGCCGAGTAGACAGGGTGGTTGGCGGCCTCGGTACCACCTCGCTCTTGCTGGCCGCACTCCATCACTGCGCCATGTTTACGCTAGCAGGCCACCTAGTGCTGCAGGCGGTGCGCAGGGAGACCTTTCATGTTGCAATGATCGGTTTGAGGTGCTCAAAAGCAGTGCGTCGGCAGGACACCCAGCGCGCCGAGCTTGGCAATGACTACGAGTGAGTCAGGTATTACTGCGAGGCGCTCTATGGCTTTGGGGTGGCACCCCGGCGCCACAATGCAGATGTGCCACGATGAGCTATTGAAGCTACTTTGCCTTTGTATTTGTAGCGCGTGGCGTCAGTGTTGGGGCCTCACCTGCTTCTCGCGGGTCGCTTGTACAGTATAGGAGAGCGGCATGTCCAACAAGGTGAGCATTGATAATTGCGAACACTTGGAGGTATGGGCATTTCTGCCCAGCGACGTCCGGAGTTGCGCGAGGTGCAGCCGCCGCTGCCGCTGCTTGCGCGTGCGCCCTTCTGCCGCAGACGTGCCGCCCCACCGCACTTCCGCGCCTGTATGCCGCTCCAGGTCGGCCACGACCCGTACCGAGTCTCATACGATGCAATTGAGTCGCCCCGATCCTCTGACGGCGGCCCAGAGCCCCGAGGGGCCACAGCTCAAAAGAGCGGGCGCGGCGCGACGCCGGAGAGCGGCGCATGCAGCCCGCTGGCTGCCAGTGCAGGGCAGGCGGCGGCGCGGGGCCGACCGATGAGCAGGAGCAGGAGCAGGAGCAGCAGCAGGAGCGGCGGCCACGGGGAGGTTGGGGCGATTGGGGGCGCGTTGCGGCGGCAGCCGCTCTCGCGGGCGGGCAGCCGGCTGCAGCAGGCTGGCCGCAGCGCCAGCCGCAGCCCCCACAGGAGCAGGAGCAGGCACAGGAGCAGGAGCAGGAGTAGGAGCAAGATTATGAGTAGGAGCAGGAGCAGGAGCAGACTCATGAGTAGGGGAAGGAGCAGGAGCAGGAGCAGGAGCAGAAATGGTAGCGAGCGGTGGGGGCGGCGCGGCAGCAGCAGGAGCAGGAGCCGGACCCGGAGCGGCAGCAGGGGGCAGGGGAAGGGCCCCAGGGCCTGGGGCCGGCCAAACAGGAGCAGGAGTAGAAGCAGATGCAGGAGCAGGAGCAGCAGCAGGGGCAGGAGCGGGAGCCCCGAGTGGCGAGGCCGCGCGGGCGGCCGCAGCAGGAGCCGCAGCGGCAGCCCCCGCTGGCGGCGG